GTACTTAATCTTCTCCAAAACAGCAAGTCCTTCTTCCACAGCTATTATCTCCTTAGGGAACACCACCCAGGCGAGCACCTAACAGGACACTTTTGTCTGTTCACCGCTGATGAAGACTTGTGCCAGCATTTGCTGCCTTGCACAGGCCATAGGGTATAGTCCTTCTCCGGGAGCAGTTGTCTCAGGAGAGGGGACTGGGGCTGGGACCCCCTTGGATGTCACTTGTGGGCTGGGTACCTACCATGGACCATCAAGCCCACGGGAAAGGGGGTACTGGAAGTGTCCCTTGCTAAGTAAAGCAGATGGGGCTCCTCTCCCACACCATGTCCTCAAAGAGCCCTTAGGATGGATGCGGGTCCATCCTTCTTTGCTAGATGTGAGACACTGGAGCCCACTGGCATCTGGGGCCAGAAGCAGTTCAGGAGTGACAAAGGCCATTGCACTGCCTGGAATTAACTCTCTTTTTGACTCAAAGTGTCTTGCAGAGGACAGTGATTAATTACTCCCAGCATCAAATATTTGTGTCCTACCACTGAACTTGCGCTGTTCTATGGGTTCTGGTTGCACTTCGCTGCTGGAATGGGACCTCTCTGTTATTGTGGCTTTCTTCTCTGGGGAGGGCAGATCCTCGGGTGGCTGTGATCCAGCTAAGCCAGGCTCAGCTCCAGGAAGCCTTACCTGCACCCAACACTTTAATGTCCCCATGATCCTTCTCCAAGCCCAGGGCATGGAAACCAGGTCTGGCAAAGCCCAGCCTGGAGGCACTTTCCATGGCATGGCCAACCTGAGCCACAGCTGCCCAAGGAGCCACCTTAACTCTTCATGCTGGGATCTTCTCCTCCTTCTTCCCCCAGGACTTCCCATCCCTTGTTTCCAACTTACTTCGGGCCATGACTGAGGACTTTTTTGGGGGCTTTCCTTATGGTTTGCTGCTGTAAAACACAGGCAACCGTTTGTGCCCATCATCCCATGCATCTGATGCCATGTTGCTGGGGTCAGCCTGAGTCCCAGGCTTTGATCCTCCATCTGCAGGGGGTTCCATGCGCCTTGGCTGGATGGTGAGCACAGCCCAAACCTCTCCCTAACTCCTGGCAGGACCTCTCTGTTCCTGGGGTACTGCAGCTGGAGCAGCTTCTTCAGGGAGTACCAGGGCTGCTCCCTGGAACAGCATAGCTGGCAGCATGGAGCATCCAGCCAAGCACTGACCCTGGATCTGACTCTTTGCAAATCCCCTCATCTTTGGAACATTCCTGCCTCCGACTTGTTTTTTTCAGGTTGCGCGTGATCCCCAGGTATTTACAAAACAGGGCTCCGCTTCCAGCTGCATTTATGGCTTTGGGAGATGTTTCACCTCTGGGAAACCACTCCCCAGCCTGACCTCGAGCTTTTCCGCCCCAGTGAGGACCCCATGTCGCCATGCCTGCTCACCCACGCAGCCTTGGCAGCCCCTTTGCCAGCCAGGCTTTCTGCACTGCGGTTCTCCAAACAAGAGCTGCTTTTGGGCTGCAGGGACCTTGCTCCTTCGGTGCGGCTGGGAAGCGTCGGTGACACTCTGAAGTGCTCCCAGCTCCACTAATGCCTAGTACTCTGCATCCCCCATCTCTTTGGGCACGCGTGGTACCCTTGCCAGGCTTGCTTTGCTAGTCCAGCATCACCCCCCCATGTCCCATCTCTCCCGTCCTCATCACAAGGCATCTGCCTCAATATTAGGGAGATGGGGACAGGGCGAATGTGGCTCCCCCTTGGCCCTGAGGCAGATCCCAGGGGAATCCGGCTGGGCCACACTCCAGGTGACATCCTGCCACCTCTGCCCTCAGGGGAGAGGGCAGTAGGTCATGGCAACCATGTGACCTGGTTCCCATCCCACACCTCCATCCCACCCGGGAAGGCAGTTGCAGAGCAGTGTGTCACCAGCTCCAGGTTGCTCAAGCGAGTTAGGGCCAGGAGGTAGAGGAGTCCTCCTCCAGCTGAGACATTTGGAATGAGCAGGAGGAATTTGGAGGAGGCAGATGATTATGATGCTCCTGGAAGGTGGCCAGGACGCAGTGGCACTTGCAAGAAGTGCTCTGGATGGCTCTGAGCTGTGAGCAAAAGTGAGGTTATGCTGTCCCTGATGGGAATTGTGCTTCTCATGCAAAGTGGTGGGGCTTCACAGCAACCACAAGCCTAGGACCATGGGTGGTCCCCCAGCTCCGTGGGGATGTGCCCATGTGGCACGATGCTGGAACCAACCTCGGAGCATGGCAGCAAAGAGGACCCCACATTGGGACAGTCCCATGGAAAGGGCTGGCAGGGTGGGATGGAGGAGGCAGGGGACATCTTCCAGCATAGGTTCTGTAAGGGGTGGGAGCGAGTCTCCATTGCCAAACTGCTACAAAAGAGGGTAAATGTGACAGCAAGTGGAGCCAGGCTCGTCCCCACTGTCCCCTGCTCAGCCTCCCCCCTGCCCCCACCTGGAAGGGGGCCAGGGACGAGTGCTGGAGAGACAGTCGAGCGCAGGGGGACTGGAGCTTGTCCCTGCCAGCAAGACAAATGGCTGGGACCAAGGACGTGGCTGTCATCTCACCGGGGACATGGAAGGGGCAGGACGTCTCGCCGGGGTGGGGGAGCGGGGTGCAGCCCCCCTGGGTGTCAGGGAGGGGAGAACAGCAAACTGAAGGCCAGCGGGTGAGCGTCTGAGGAGCGGCAGGACATGAGGCGTTGTTTTGGGTGGCCTCGCCATGTGCGTGGCCGCCGTGCCCCCTCGTGGCAGCAGGACACAGCTGGTGGCCCCAGGCTGGCACAGGCAGGAGCCATGCCTGGCAGGGATGGAGGCAGGGATGAAGGTGCTGGGTGCCACAAGGTGCCCCGGCAGGGTCACCTCATCCCACCCGGAGCATCCTCCTGAGGGGGGTGCTGCACCTCTACCCCATCTCTGCTGATGCTGCCTGAGGCCGCGCATGCCTGGGGTCCCCACCAAGCCTCATGTGGCAGCCCATGACCTTGCCTCTGCTCACAAAGGAGCCTCCGGCATCCTGCCACCCCCCTCTCCTTCCCGAGGAGGGGGGCTGTGCCTGCTTGGTGTGTTTTTGGCATAAACCACTTGCGCCTCGGCCAAGCCAAGCACTTCAGGCGCCGCTCAAGGGCAGGCAGCGTGTGCCCGGGGCCGGGCCGGGAATCCTAGAAATATCACCAAGGCTGCAAAAAAAAAAAACAGCTGGAAAAAAACAAACAGGGGTTGGCAGAGGCCTTTGCTGAGGCCACGGCTGCCCCGACTGCTGCCAGACCGCTTGGGGTGGGGGGCATTCCCCAGCACCCTGCCTCAGTTTCCTCCAGCAAGCCCTAGAGAGCAACAGTCCTGGGGTTGTCACATGTATAATGTCACTTTGGGTACCTGGGGCAGATGCACAGGGTTGGGAAGATGCTTTCCTACCTCTTTCTCCTTCCTGCTGTGCAGCTGAGTGGCTCAATGTCATCTGTCGTGACCTCCGTATCCTCTCTTTGGGGACCCAAGTCAAGCACCCAGAGGGGAGGAGAGCCAGACCACATCTTGGGGCACCTGCAGCTCTTAGCGTGGTATCTTGCTGTCCCCAGAGCCACCCAGGAACATCTCAGGCACGTCACAAGCTGGGGGGGGGGCTGGCACTGCCCAGCTCCTCTGAGGACACCAGGGTGTCCAACCTCATGGGAGAGGGACAACCCTGGGCAGAGGTTAGCCAGGAGGAAGAAGCTGCCCTGCCCGGTGGAGTTTTTCTTCATTCCTTGAAAGCTGCAGCGACCTGCTGTGCGGGATTCAGGGCTAGAGGCAGCACTGAGGTGGAGCTACCATGATGAATGATGTGACACCATTCCCAAATGCCTCTGCCACGGGTGATGGTGCCCAAAGCAGTGCAGCTGGCAGAGGAGGATGCTCAGAAATGGTACCCACCCACTATCTAGCACTCAAGGGGAGCATCACAGCCAGCACCCAGTGTGGGTTTTAATCTGTGCCTGGGATAGCACAAGCTAGGAGGTGGCATGTTCCTGTCTGGACATCTCCCAGGCCCCACAGCTGCCCTTGCTGCATTTACATCATGAGGCAGCCTGTCTCTGCCAAGCACAGGGAGATGTTTCTGAGGCTTGCAGCTTGGACAGGGCCAGGTTTGCAGGGAGCAACCTGACTGCTGTGCCTTGGACCCACTCTGGGAAGGGAACAACCCTGCCTCAGCCCCAGGTCCAGGTCTGGCCAAAATCCCCCAGGAGAGGTTTGAGATGGGGCACGTACTCTTGATTTGACTGCATCATGGGCTTGCGCTCAAGCCACCGCTCCTGCCCTTGAGCGTGCAGCCTTGAGCCTGGCAGCAGTCCTCGCTCATTCTGGCAGCGTCCCCCTGGATGTCCTGGTACAGAGGGGATCACGCTGTCCCTGGGAGGGATGACAGTGCCTGCAAGCCACAGGGCTGGCTGCTGCAGACTGAGTGCTTGCCCCAGGCAGCAGGGCTGGGATGCCAGCAGCACCCAGGTCCTGCTCAGGAACAGGGCAACGGCTTCCCCAAGGATCCTGGGGGGAGCATCACCCCTTCCCTCCTACCCCCACCCTCAGCACTGCCTGCTCCAGCCCATGGCATCAAGACCCTCCAGCATCCCAGCCCAGCAGCAGGGCTGGGCCTGGGTGCAGGGACTAGGGACGCCAGCAGTGTGTCAGATCACTTTATTGCCACAGGTGCCACGGGCCAGACCCAGTTCCCAGAGGGGGTCTGGGTCCAGCCCCTTGACCCCTCTATAATACTGTTGAGAAGATGCATGCCGAGCCTCCATGCCCATGCATGGGCGCTGAGCATCCTCCATCCCGGCCACCATGGAGCTGCTCTGGGGCATCGCTCCCATCCTGCTGCCTGCACCTCTGGGAGCTGGAGACCAGCAGGGAAAAGCAAGACGAGACCAAGGGTGCAGAGCATGCCAGTCCTGGAGCAGCAGGGGCTGCTACCATGTCCTGCCCTGGGGGCTGCTGGAGATGAGGAGCAGCACGAGCCACCCTTGACCCCCTCAAACCTCCATGCCGGGTGCCTGGCCCAGGCCCAGCGCCTGCACCAGGTCATCACTGAGCCCACTCTTCAGCGTCCGTCTCACTGCGGGAAGAGGAGAGCATGGCAGTGACAGCACGAGCAGTGCTGGCTGCCAGGGTCCCCACATGATGGGTGCCTGCCCAGACATGGTGATACTGGCATGCTGGGGAGGGGAGGGGTGGCAATGGGGTGCAGTGGCATGGTCTGGTCTTGGGGTACCTTCTGCTGTGGCCTGGTGGGCTCAACATGGGAGGTCAGGGGCGGCCAGTGGGGAAGTCGCCAGGCAGGGCATGGGGACACGGACACAGAGATGGGACAAGGCATGGGGACAGAGCATGGGAACAGCAACGGGACAGGACACAGGGGTAGAGACAGAGATGGGACAGGGACATAAAGATGGGACAGAGCATCTGGGCAGGGACACAGGAAAGAGTAGAGACAGGGCCACAGAGGTGGGACAGGGTACAGGGACAGGGACACTGAGATGGGACAGAGTACAGGTACAGGGCATGGGAACAGGGCCACAGAGGTGGGACAGAGACACAGAGATGGGGAAGAAGCATCTGGGCAGGGCCACAGAGATGGGACAGAGTACAGGGACAGGAGCAGGACTTACAGGACTTCCTGTTGCCACGGGACCTCCTGCGCTCCTTGTTGGTGCAGGGCCGGGGGTTGGCATTGTGAGTCACCGATTTCACCAGCCGGTCCATGATTTCATCCGAAGCATCGTCTGGGGAGCTGGGAACGTCCTCCTGGGCTGGAGAGCCCTGGGCTGGGGTGGTGTGCCCTGTCCCTGCATGGGGACAATGGGGATGCTAGCATCAGCTGTGCTCAGCCAGCTGGGCATGCCTTGAGCGCCTCTGCCACCCCGCTCCTACCCCGGCTGGCCCGGCTGCGGCGGGCAGGGGCATCCGCGGGGGAAGTCAGCAGGCTTTTCATGCTCTCATGGCCTGCTTCCATCTGTTCCTCAGGGCTGCTGGACACCACAGCAGGTGGTGAAGCAGTCTCAGTGATGCCAGAGAACTTCTCGGTCTGCAGCAGGAGGAGAGACAGGCGTCGGGGACCTGGGGGGGCATCACCTGGTGGTGGCAGCTGGCTGAGTGTCCCCGTACCTCGGTGATGAGCCGTCCCCGGGTCTTGTTGCGCTCACGGTGGGCAGCCCGTTTCTTCTGCTGCTGCAGGACACGCTCCCGGCAGGTGCGGTACTCCAGGGCGAACTCCCGCAGCAGCTTGCAGATGGGCATCACCTTCACATCCCGTGCTGTGCTTGCTGGGTACCCCAGGTACAGCAGGAAGGAGTGAAACCTGCAGGGATGTCGGTCACAGCGGGTTCCTGCCACGTCCCCATGTCCCGTGTCAGGACCACAGGGTTCCTGCCATGTCCCCACAACCTCGAGCCACCGACCTATTGAGGATGCGCCTGTGTACCACCTTCAAGACGACAATGCGCTGGGTGCTGTCCTTGAGGAAGTCCGTCAGCTTGCTCTTCAGCACCGGCTTGGTCTCATGCTTGGCAATCACCTTCAGGTTGTCCCAAGAGGCCCTGCACCTCCGCTCCAGCTGCACCAGGCTGTTGGCCAGCTCGTCAAAGTCAACCTGGAAGAACAAGACATCAGCCCTTGGCCGTGCTGGTGGAGCTGGGCAGCCACGGGACCTACACCTTTGTGTTGCCCAGGTGTCATCTGCCTTGCCTCACCTTGGCAGAGCGGGTGATGGAGGCAATCTCTGAGTAGAGGTCAGTGGTTTCTGGGAACTTCTCTACCACCATCTGGCAGAGATGGTGGAGCAGGGACTGCCGGTGCACCGTGTCCTTCACTTCTGAGACCTTCTCCAGGTAGCCCAGCTCAAAGCCTCTGCTCTGAAACCCCAATGGACTCAGCAGGGCCTCTCCATCCCTCCTCCAGCAGGCCTCCAGTCTGCAGACCCACTGGGCCCTCACCAGCACCACCCAGCCTCAGGCGCTGTCCCAGGTTTCCCATGGTCCCTCTTGGGTATCCATGCACCATGGCTGGTCCTGTCATTGCAGCACTCAAGACAGGCCGCATCCCTCCACACCCTGCTCCTCACCTGGGAGCCGTTCAAGAAGTTGCCCATGGCCAGCAGTGTGGCCAGGATGCACTTGAAGGTGTGATTTCTGGCCAGCTGCTCCATGCCCACCTTCAGATCAAAGAGTGGTTCTGCAATCTCCTGGGTGAGGAGAGAGGTAAGTGAGACCCCTTGGCCACCCTCTCGCTTGGGAGCTTCAGCATTCACCCCTGCCCATGAGGACAATCAACTCATGGTCAACCCAAGCCCATGCTTGCCTTGGGGACCTGCAGCCCATCCCCAGCCAGGACGGCACCTCCCGTAGTTGGACACGGCTGGTCCCCACCAGGAACACGCTTGGCTCAGTGCTCAGCACTGCTGGGGCTGGCAGCGGTGAGAGGGCTGAGGGCAGGTGGGGTACATGGCTCTGTACCTGCTCCAGGCTCTCGTAGTCCAGCTTGAAGGCCCAGAGCTGGAGCCTGGCCGTGAGGTCACTGATGGAAGAGAGGGCGAGCAGGAACTGCTCTGCAGAGCCCAAAGGCACATCAGGGTTGGCCAGCTGGGCCTCCTGGATCTTCTGCTTCTCCTCCTCAGTCGGGACCATGGTCAGGATTTTCTAGAGCAGACAAAGAGGGATGTGTCAGACTTCCAGACATGTTACCATGGGACATGTCACCCCAGGGCTGGCAGCACAGGCATCATGGCATGGAGGCCTCCTGGCCAGAGGAAATGACCTGTATGAGGACTTCAGAGGGGCTGAGCTTCTCTTGTGCTCACCTCAATCCCTTCCTTATTGACTGCAAACTCATCAAAGTTGAGCACGGCTGTCTTGATGATGTGTACGGGTGGCAGCACCGTGAGGCCAATGTTGATGGCATTGCTCCTCTTGGGGTCCAGCACCACCACCACCTTCTTCCCATCAATGGCCTTCTGCAAAGAGGACAGAATGGATGTGGACAGCCAGGCGAAGGGCTCACCTTCATGAAAACACCATGGACATGGGGAGCCGATCAGGGACCTGGTGGTGAGCCAAACCTGCGCACTGCCCATCACCGTCCCACTGAGCCTTCGGGCTGCAGGTACCCATCCTCAGCATAGGGTAGGGGTGACAGTGCATGCCTAGGGTCCCCACAGGAACTAACAGCCTTCCTCCCACCCCTCAAGTTCCCATGGCTGATGGGTGCCAACCCACTGGTACCTTTGAAGTTGGCACTTCCTTTGACCGTGACTCAAAGAGATGCTCCAGTTTGGCAGCATTGACCTCGACGTTCTGCAGGGACGCCCACAGTGTCGCCTGGCCAAACCTGCCTGGCCCCACAGTGCCATCCAGCTGCTTCAGCTCCTTCCAGAAGAGCTTCACTGTCCTCTTCTTCTTGGCCTGCGAGGGGCCATCTGTTGCTGAAGGGCCTGGCAGTCCTGGGGGGGGTGGGCAGCCGGGGACTGCAGGAGGTGGAGGCGGAGGTGGTGGGCAGCCAGGGATCGCAGGAGGTGGAGGGCAGCCAGGGATTGCAGGAGGCGGAGGTGGAGGTGGTGGGCAGCCAGGGACCGCAGGAGGTGGAGGAGGAGGAGGAACCATGAGGGCTCCAGCACTTGTAGCTTCAATACTGGGTGGGAGGAAGGAGCCATTGGCCATGGGCCCTTTGTCCAAGATGTCAAAGTCTTCTTCTTCCCCCAAATCAGTGAAGTCCAGGTCCTTGATCTTCAGCTGCATGGGGCTAGCCTCCAGGTGCTCCCATGTCAGCTCCACATCCTTCTTGATGGGCATCATCCCAGTGTTCTCCAGTTTCTGCATGTGGGTCTCGGCATCTACGCTGGACATGGCACGTGCCAGCTTGGCGTGGGCGCTGGCCACTGGCCCGTCTGGAGCCCTGCCATGGTGCCAGGTACCCTCCTGCTCCTGACTGCCACCTCCCTCAGCATCCATCTCCACCTCACCCTGGACCAGGAGGGACGACGGGACCTCAGGGAAGACCTTCTCCCTCCCCGGCTCCAAGGAGCCCTTGGCATAGAGCATGTCCAGCATAAACTTGGTGTCAGAGGAAATGGTGCTGCAGGAGTCAGTGGTGTCTGGCCGAGCCAGGCGAGACCCTGCAGGGAGAGGGGGAGAGGCTGGGACAGCCCGCTTGGAGGGGGCAGATGCTGCTGGGCTGCACATAGAGTTGGGGTCCTGCTCCCCAATGGGGTGTGCTTAGATGCCAGTATTCAGAGCGGGGTGGGGAGGTACCACCCAGCCCCTCCATGGCTCTGGGCACCACAGGCATGGGCTGGGGGCAGAAGGGCCACTTAGACCCACCCCAGGGACCCTGATGAGCCCAGACCTGGGAACACATGCCCCGGCAGCACCTACTTATACTGAGTGGCTCCATCCCAGGCTCAGGGGTGCTGCTGTCCCTGTCCCACGCAAGAGTGGTGGGATGCTCCAGTGCGGCATCGCTGAGGACATCAAGCCGTCCCTTGGCCATGGAAGAGATCTTCTCCTTCTGGGCTGCAGCCAGGTTCTCCAAGAAGCGAGCTCTGCGAGACAGGAGTGGACATTAGCTGACAGCAAGGCAGGGATGGAGACGATGGGCAAACCATGTCATGCCACACTGCACAGCCAGCCCCACAGCACAGAAACCCCCTACACTGGCCACACCGCATTGGGGACCCGGAGGATTCAACCTCCTCCGAGCCCTGCAGAGAGACAGGTGATGCCACCACGGCTCCGGGACAGGGATGCCACAGCCCCATGGGAGCCAATGACTCGTGCTGCCAGGGTGCCACCATCACCTCTTGGTCCCAATGGACCAGGTGCTCAGCACAACCCTTGTCCAAAAGCTGCAAAACCCAGGAGGGTGCCCAGGCAGAGACTCGTGGGGACCCTCCTGCTCCTCATGCCCTGCGTGGCCGGCGCCCAGACACCTCCGCCCAGGTGCTGGCCTGAGGAAGCGCATGCCTGGAGACACACGCATGCCTCTACTTACTCAAACTTCCTCAAAATAGGCTTGTCCCCATGCAAAGAGGGGGCATCCTCCCGCCTGAGGGAAAACAGGGGTTAGCCCCCACTGCCAGCAGCCCTCTGGGGCTTGTGCCTCCTGCACACACCCACCTGGCAGCTCTCCAGCGTGGGACCCTCGCCCCACCATCAGCCCATGGCCCTGGAGTTCATGGGGAGCCAGGAGAGCCCCAGCAAGTCCCCTCCTGCCCAGGCACCACAAGGCATTGGGTGCTGCCGAGACAGGGCACCGTTCCCCACCACCAGAACCACCCAGTTTGCCACCAGGATGGCGATGTCAGCCCCCTTCCAGCCCTGGGATGGGCTGTGCCACCTCCAGCAGGGACACCTCACCCCAGAAGAGGAGGATCAGAGGGTGCCATCACGTCGTGGGGGATGCTGGCAATGGGGGGAGTGGGTTGGGGTCCCGCAGGCAGGGCTCAGAGGGGACAGGCGAGGGATGGAAGAGGTGAGGGGTGGGAGCAGTGAGCAGGTCAGGGCAGTGCCCCCTCCTGCCGGAGCATCACGCTGGGAGGGAGCACACGCATGCAGAGCCTAGGCACTTACCAGACAGGGGCAGTTTGGTGCAGCCTGCAAAAGGAAAGATAGAAAGAGTGGGCAGAGGAGAGGGCAAGCGTGGGCAGAAAAGGAGTGAGGAGCTGGAGCAGAGCTGTGTGTACCCGAAGGATGCCCTGGAGCCCCTGGCCAGACCCTCTCAGATGCCCACTCCCCCGTCACACTTCTCTCCAGCCCTGGTGACCACCTTGACCCTGTTTCCCCCTGGGACAGGTGCACCCCACGCTCCTGGGAGCCCCCCCCACGCACCCAGCCCCTCCTGGCTCCGTACTTGTAGATGCTGCGCTCGCCTGGGCCCGGGAGCTGCTCCTTCTCAGCCGGTGGGGAGGCCAGGGCCAGCCGCACGCTGGATGCGCTGTTGTAGATGCTGCTGGGACAGGGTCTGGAAGAAGAGGTGACAGGGACTGAGAGCAGGTCCCACTGCACTGCCCTCCACCCCAGCACCAGGGATGGACCTGAGCACTGCTCATGCCACATCCCAGCATCTTCACCATCCCGGGAACATTCCCTCCAGCCGCACTTACTCTGCCGGGCTGCTTGGCATAGGGACAGACGGGGTGTCCTTGATGAGGGGCTCTTTCAGAGTGTCAGGGGACCCCAACAGTGGCTGGGCATCGGGGCCAGGCTCCGGGCAGCCACCCTGGGATCGCCACCCACGCCGGCCCTCTTCCGTCCTCCTCCTCTCCTTGCGTCCCCCCGGGGGTGGCTCCTCTACCCCATCCTCCAGCTTCAGAGCGCTCTGCAGAGGGGCCGGGGGGGCATGGCACCAGGCACGGCACCCCTGCCACCCCACGCACCCGCCCTCCCCGCTGCCACGGGACGTGGCACGCAGCTGGATCCCGCAGGTGCCCCACTCACTTCGTAGAGCATGAACTGCTGCTTCAAGTCAAGGTCGGTGCCCTTGCTGCCCAGGTACTGCTGCACCACCCGCTCCATGCCCTGCTGCTCCAGGCAGTCAGTCACATCGTAGAAGGTGTCCTGGTCCGGGAGGGCTGCCAGTGTCTGAGCAGGACCAGAGTGATGCTGCTGGGACCGGTGTGACCCACACCGAGCTCCACCAGCACGGCACCATGGGGACACCCTGCCACCCCCCCCGAGACCTTGTTGATCAGCGTCATGGCGAACACCAGCAGCTCCGTGTCAGCCCCGTTGCGTTGCTCCAGGATGGCCATCAGGTTGGACCATGGGCACATGCCTGAGAAAAGCAACATGCAAAGGTGACACGTGGGCCATGGGGGGACACTGTCCCCCCAGTGGGGACCTCATGGGTGGCTGGGTCTGCACCCACCTCTTGCCCTGTCCACAGCATTGACAGCACGGATGAGGAGCAGGGCGTTGGGCTCCGTGTACTCCACGAACACCAGCAGCAGCTTCAGTGCCATCTTCACCACCAGGCGAAACTGGGACAAGGGATGGCAGCTGGGATGGTGGCAGGGGGCTGCCAGTGCAATGCTGGGGCACTGCAGGGTGGCTGTGCCCATGCCCCAGGGCTGGAGACTTTGCCTTGGGGCCAAGGACCAGCCTGCAGCTGTGATGCTGATGGCCAAGGGGCACTGGGAAGGGACACGGAGTGGGACCTTCTCTTACTCAAGCTCTGTGCCCAGGAGCACAGTCACGTCAGGACAGGGAGCTCTGGGGACCCTGGGTGACTTCCAGATGGGTGGGAGCAGGACCAAACACACCCAAAGGTACCAGGGCACCGAGCCCAAAGGCAAAGGGTGGGGTAAATCTCCCAAGGGATGGTGCAAGGGGACAGCCACAAGCAGGGAAGGTGGGGGTGCAGTGGGGGGCACAAGGACAGCGGGGGCTTACTGGGCTTCCTGACAGCGTGTACAGCCACTGGACAGTCTCATTGTGGTTGATGACACCCTGCATCCCATCCACAAAGAGCATGATCTGGCTCAAGGCTGCAAGGCAGAGAGTGGGCAGGGTCACAGCATGGCAGGCAGGGCTGCAGCAGGCAGGGGTAGGGCTTTCCCCTCCCTGCACAGTGTTGCCACACCAAGGGCAAGGTCTGGCAGCTGCTGGCAAGGTAGCCCAGGCAAACTTGCTGGCTCACCCCCACTGAGTGCCAGCCTTCCTCCCCAGGGATGAGAGGTGCCCTGTACCCAAATACCAACCCCGGAGGATGTAATTCTGGTAGTTCTGGTCAGCCTCTGCCCCCACTTTGATCAGGCACGTCAGCCCATCCAGGTTCACAAACTCCGGCACCAGGTCCTTGTCCTCCTGCGGGGTGAAGGTCAGGTGTTACCACAGTGTGGGAAGGCAGCCACCCCTGGGGGAGCCCCCCCCCGCCCAAACCCCCCACCGCACTGCCATCACTCTACCTGAAAGAGCTGCTTGAGGGAGAAGAGGGATCGCCGCAGCTCTGGCCCCTGTGAGTTGTACAGCTTCTCTGGAAGGAACGAAGAGACACAGCATGATGGCCTGGCCCGCAGGGGCTTGCTGCTGAACCAGGGCTCTGAAATTCTCCCGGCTGCCTGGGAAAGCCCCACATCCTGACTCAACTCTTGCACCATCACCCCAGGATGCCGGCACTGCCTGGCTGTCAGACACATAGGGTGGAAGCAGCTGCAGTTCCACAACTACTTATTTCAGCCCTGCCACCTTCCTATTTCCCTTTTTTTCTTTTTTGCCTTTTTTTTTTCTGCCCAGCAATGACATAAATATCCCCTCTGGTTTCCTGTGCAGAACCGAAACAGGAACACGGGCAGGAGGCAGAGCTACTTTTAGCCGTCCCTCCCCAGGCACAGCCCTGACACAGTCCCAGAACCCCCAGCAGCCCCGTGGCTTGGGAAGAGCAGCGGGATGGGGATGGGAAGGACGGAACGGCTGCTCGGGAACAATAGGACAGTCACTGGGCTGAAGGCTGGATGGAGACTACGTGCTCATGGGGACGGTGCCTGCAGGTAGGAGCCAACATGGAGCAGCTGGGGCAATGGGAAGCCAGAAAGCCCTGTTACAACAAGCGGAGACCAAAAGCATCGGGAGCCAGAACTTCCCGCATCCAAGAATTGAGTTATCTGAGCATCCCGAGTTATTTGGGTCAGCTTTAGAGCCGTCACAAGCCAAAAGCGAGCTGTTCAAGTTGCCCTCCAGACATGCTGACAAGGGCTCTGTAAAACACAAGGTCCTGGCAGCCTCCTCCGCTCACTTATTGGCTTGTCAGAGCAGCCGAGAGGGAAAGCAGAGCAGCCTGGGGCTCAGCCGGAGCCTGGGAACCACTGGCAGAGCATGACCCCGACCCCGGCCTTCCTGCCCCTTCCCGTATCACTCGGCTGCAGCCCTGCACGGCAAGCTGATGCCCAGCCAGCATCGCTCTGCTCAGCACTTGTTTTCGCCCCTGCTAAGGAGGAAAAAAGGCTCGAGGCTCCCAAATATTTTGCAGGACCTCCAAGCAGGTTGCCCAAAACCGCGACAGTGCTTTCTGCTGCGCTCAAGCTATTTGTTTGTATTCTGCAAAGCTATATTTAGAGCTTGCCTGAATGACCCAGAATATCTGCAGTGGTCGGTGGGTTGCCAGCTGAAGAGACAAAAGTCCTGATCTCTGAGGATGGAGGGGATTAATGCAGCAGGTCCCCACCAGCCTCGCGGAGACCATGTCCCCTGCATCTCTGGGAGGGCTTATGGTGTGGGAGCAGCCCTGGGCTGTATTGGTCCCTCTCTCCATCACAAAAAGCCCAGCCAAAACTCACTGCAGAGACCAAACCCCCACCATCCAGGGGTGCAAGCCACCAGACCCGCACCAGCCTGGAGGAAGGAGCAGCCCCGACTCACCAATGATGGCGTGGACTCGGACGGAGAGCTGTGTGCGCAGGATCAGGGTTGGCCGTCTCCCCTTCCTAAAGTGGGAGAAACGCTGCGTGAGTGCCTGCAGCGGGACCACCGCAGCCCCCAGCACTCACACACACATGGGGTCCCTGTGTCCTGGCCCTGGAGGGCTCAGGCACCCCACATGCCTCACCTGACCTCCTCGTAGAAACCCTCCAGATCATCCTTCTGCTCCAGCAGGGACAAGTCAAGGTCTAGGTAGTGTCCAGAGGGAGAGACCTGCAGCGTGCAGTCCTCCAGCTGGGGATGCAGACAGCCCAGTTGAGCCCCTGTGCCCACTACTTCCCTCCTGCCTCCCGGAGGATGCAGCATCCCTGGGTCACCCTCCCACCTGCAGCAAACGCACCAGACCGACACATCCCGGAGCAGGGTGGCAGGTCCCACCCTTTCCCCGAGTGCTGGCCCTGCAGGGAGATGCCCCAGCACCCTCTGCCCCAGCTTAGTGGCGGATTGAGAGAAACATGGAGCCCCAGGCTGGGAAAAGGCAGAGCGAGGGCGGGCCTGCTGCCGCCAGGCTCCTCGGCAATCCCTTGGGTGGGAGCCATGGGAAGAGGCTGATCCATGCCCTGGGGCTCCCCTGAGTCAGCTGGGGTGCAACCGGGGTAGGATCTGTCTCCTCACCTGGGCACGTGAATCACCTCCGTCTGTGGGGACTGGGTCTGCGGGAACTGCCAAGGCACCCTGCCCAGCCAGGGACACCCCAAACCAGAGCAAATCCCACAGGGATGTCCCCTGGCTGACGCAGCCTCTGGCTCAGCCCACAGCCATGTGGCATCTTCCAGCGGGACAGGGAAAAGCACAGCCCAAGGCAAGGCTGGGGTGAGGGCATCTTCCCCGAAAGTCCACATACAGAACCCATGTTGCACCCCAACCAGCAGGCACGGCACCCAGAGGTGCTCCAGGCACGGCACCCACAAAGCCCCTGAGCCACCTGGGACCCAGCAGCACCCCACAGCACCCAGGCAGGTCTCCTGGGTGAAATCCTGATGTGACAAGGCAATTTGCCTTCAAGCACCCCTGCCACCCCAGTGCATCTGGACCTGTTCCTAAAGCATTTGCAGCCCCCCCCTCCTAGCTCACCCCACCTCCAAGGAACTGCTGTTCCTTTCTAAATCTGCACAGCAGTGCTGTGTAACCACCTGGGGAGCTGAGGACTGGGGACAAAACCCTATTATTGGGTTTTATATAAAACCCTGCCCTGGCCACCCTAGGGCAGGCTGGTGACCCACAGCAATGCTGGGTACAGCTCCTGCATCTCACTGGGGTTGCTTTCCATGAAAGCCCCATCTCCTCAAGTCACAAGAGAGCTCGCACGTACAACTTCACTGTGAGCCTGACATTAAAACCAGAGGGCAAAGAAAAAATGCCACGTGCATTAAAATAATTAATGACCCTGACTAAGCCTTGGGATAACAGGCAATTTGGCAGGGCACTGCTGTTGGGTTGGACACAGTTGTTATGTTGTTAGTGTCCTGCTCCACCTCCCGCGGTTGCTGGCCACGCCAGCCGGCCATGGCAACGTGCACCAAACACAGGCTGCTGGCACGGGGGAAGTGCTCCTGGCTGCCAGCTCTGCCTCTGTGACAGGCATCACTAACGCTGACCCCACACAGGGTTTGCTTACTGGGGAAAGCTTCAATTCTTCCACAGGGACAGGCTCTCCTGGGCATCCCTGCATCTGCCTAGGCATCCCTTCAGGCATTTCTGCATCTGCCCAGGCATTCTTGCATCCGCCCAGGCACTTAAACACAGCAAAGAGCAACTCACAGCTCCAACACAAAAACTTTGCCTTCTCTGGGCTGCCAGAGCCCCGGCAAGTCGGAGTTAACATCCCCAGCTCTTACCGGGGCTGGTGACATGTCCCAGCTGGTGGAGGAAGCCAAGCCCCTGGGACTCGACCCGGCGTGTTTCCCGTGTGAGCTTGGCGGCACTCCCCATGAGGGATGCTCCGAGCGCTGGGCCTGGGTTTGGCTGCGACCCCCCTGGCGAGCACCAGCCCCCTGGGATGGATACAGGCCGTCCCAGGCTCGTGCTGCCCTGCCAAAAATCCGGGGTGGCACTTCCGCGCCAGGGAACACTGACTGCCCCAGGGCCGGGGTTACACTGGTTATTTGGATGAGGGGTTTACACCATGAAGGATTTGAGCCGGGACCTTGGGGCTGTGCTGCTGGGGACAGCACGTCAGGGTCACGGGGTACTGACAGCTCCCGGCGCAGGGCGGCTGTGATCCATCTGCCTCCTGCCTGTAAAAGCATTTTAAAATGAGATGGGCTTTGAGGGTCATGGGGACTTGCAGGCAAAGTGGAACTGAGGGAGGAAAGCATCCCACGCTCACACCTCCAGCCCACGGCTCCTGGGAACCCCAGCCATCCTGCAGCAGCACTCATGTTCTTAATCCACAGCATGGGGAGGTTTTGGGGTCTTGCTGAGGACAAGATGCCAGTGGCAGCCCCAGAGGGGGACAAGGACCCACGGCCCAGAGAGGGTTTCCCTGCCGGTGTTAAAAAAACCCCATTACCTACCCTGTTGCCACAAATCTGAGACATGGGGAAGGTAAAAAACACATGGATCTCCCTGATCCTACCAACACCCAGCAGCTGTGGCCGACTTTGAAGCTCGGCGAGGACACACAAGCCAGGCAAGCGAGCCCCCAGGGAAAGCCACCTCCCCCTGAAGTGGGACTTCCCTCCCAAATCATGGGGGTAAGATAGAGACATCTCCACCTCCGAGACGGAGGCAACCTCCACCCACAGCTGAACTCACACCACCCACAACGGCATCACATCTTCCTGCTCACCCTTATCACGGCATCCCCACCTGGGAGGATGCTCCAAGGCCAGGCAGTGAATATCCTCTTTATCTGCCAGCAGAGGAAACACTTCCCTCCCCCCCCAACACTTTCTTTTTGCAGTAACCACAATTTCCTAACGTCTCTGCAGCTCTTCTAGGAAGGCTATGGGGAAATTACAGAAAAAATATATATTATTTGCTCCTGAGGCAGCAGTTAAACACAAGGCACTGGTGGGTCAGAAACACCTGGCATCACAACCCTCTGCCCGCCCTCCCAAAACATATGGGGACTGATGGTTTATAGAGCTACACTGTAGGAGTAACGCTAGCCAGCAACCAAGCACATTCACCGCGATTCGGTTTCAGGGCTAAGAGGGGTGTTTATTGCCTGGACACTTGGTCGCTGCCTCCTGCCCGCTCCTGCCTGACGGATTGCAGCAAGTGGATGGGAGCACTGCCATTGCCTTATCATGGCAGGGGGCAAAAAAAAAAAAAATACCCAGAGATCCCTCCAGGCTTGGAGGTCACTCAGCCCAGAACTGCACACTTGCTCGTGCACATCCCTCTTGAACCTCCTCTGAGGCTTGTTGCTCATTAACAGATCCCTCATTTCTCAGCAGCAGCAGGAGGACCCCAGTCCTGGTGAGCAGCCAGCGATCCTGGCAAAGCCATGACACAAATGCCTGGCCGCAGCTCCTGTCCCAGGACCCACGTGAGGACCATGCCAAGAGCCGGGGAGTGCTGGAGGCTGCTGAGCACTGACACTCGGCTCTCAGCATTCAGCAAGAAGCAGAGGGCAGAGTTTCAAAGCGGTTAAGTCAGGGGGATGGCAGCACTGCCAACAATCCTGTCTCACTGCTTTCATGCCTGCCAGAGGTCAAGTGGGGCAAAGACCCTCGGCAAAATCCCCCCTCAAGCTGGTTAGGAAACAAAGAAGAAGCAGGGCTGGTGGGATGGGGCTTGTGCACTTCATGTGTGCACCAAGGTCGCCCCAGCAGCTCTCCTCTATCAAGTCCGAGAGCTCGCAGTAAGCTCATGGCACCAAGGCCAGCGAGCTCTTTGCTCTTCCCCAGGTTTCGAGGAGAGGAAGGGGAAAGCAAAGCTCCAGCCCATTGGATTTTGCAATTGTTTGGAAAAATCCTTAGATTCAGAGGTGAGATAGTGCCGGGGGCAAGTGAGCGCAGTGGCCTTTGGGGACCAAAGGGACAGCCAAAAAAACCTGCCCTGTCAAAACCTGCCTGCGGAGGTTCAGAAAACCCCCACACCCAACGCGAGCATCACCCAAGGGTACTAGTAAAATGCTGGAAAGCAAGAGAAGATAGTATCGGCCTGGAGCCGAACAATGCAGCAGCCACAAACAAAGCGGGAAAGTATTTTCAAGCACAAACACGCTTTCCGGAGAGCATGAAAAAGTCATCAGCAGCAGGTCATGCTTGGGGAGAGGAAGTGCCGAGGGTGTCACAAGGCAGGACGGGTTGTTCGAGGCAGCGATGCCGGCATGAGAAACCTCCTGTTCATCATCTCTAGGCTGTTCCCCGCTCAGGGAGCAGTCTTGCCGTGCCCGGGGAGGGCAGCACCCGGCTGGTCCCCCATGGCAGCTCATCCCCTAAGTGCCTGCAGTTCGGTCCTCCTCCATCGATGTGGGGACCCCCAGCCCAGCTCCCTCTCGGCCATGGCATCCTCCTGCTGGTGCTTTGCAGCTCCAGGCACGCTGTCCAGCAGGACAAGCCTGGCACCGGGCATCCCTAGCTGAATTTTTTTTTACAGCCAGTTCCTTGGGAAAAATCCAACTGTGCATTTACTAATTTTAGGGCGGTGAGTAATGGAGATGAGCGCTACCTGGCGCAAAGGGCACCAAGGGAGGTTTCGGCTGGTCGTGCCAGGGTAATGACGTCTGCATGGCTTCAGGGTACCAGTTCCAAATTTGTACTGAACTGGGTGGCTCAGGAGACTGACCTTGCTCTGCAGTGTGTAAATCCCACTGCAGGAGGCTCCCTATGAAGACATCAGCTCATATAAGCCCCAGCTTGTCAGGCTGGGATGTACCACAGCCCTCGCTGGCTCAGGAAGCTCTGTGTAATAAAAGCAGCGTGGTTTATAACCTATATGACCTATATAAACTAGGAATCTGGCTTATAAGCCCAGAGCAGGGTCCTAGCTGCTCGCCTGCGATTTTACCAAGGATCATGGGGCGATGCAGTGAAACTACAGAAAAAAACACCCAGAGCTTGGCTTAGGCAGAGAACAGAGCCTGAAAACCCACAGTCAACACACCTCTGCTGGGCACAGGACCTCCTTGTGATGCTCCAGCTCTCGGGAACGCCATGTCTAGCCCCCTGGGTGCCACCACAACAGCACCCTGGGCTGGCGATCCCCTTACAGCCAGCTCCTGCCCAGGGAGGAGAGCACATGCCTGAAATTTGAGTTTGCCTCATTCGTCATGTCTCGGGGCTGTTTGTTCCCAAACAAACTCCGTTTAGTCACCGCCTAAAAATCCCATGACGGCGACGACATGGGACGCTGCTGCTTTGCTCCAAGAAAAATGAAAAGGGAGATGAAAGGGAGTTTTTTTGCTACAGGCAAAGGTCTCGTAGCGATCCCCTCTCCCCCGGCAGGCCACCAAGCTCGGTGCCAGGCACACTGAGCCGATTTCCCCTTCCTGCTGCCCCCATCTCTCCTGCCTGGCTCCGGGCAGGGCACACTCCCCCTGCCTGCCTGGGCTCCTGCCTCCCTTGCCTGCACTTCTGCGGTGCTGCAAGACAGAGATGCTCAGCCATTGCCAAAGGTCCCGTGTTCCTAAGGAGGAAAACAAGCCTGCCCCATCCTGTAAAGGATGGTCTGAAAGCATCACGCCAACAGAAGATACCAAGGGGGGGGGGGTCACCTGTCCCCTCTGCTCCCTAGCCTGGATCAGGCCTGAGGACACACAAGCCGGACACAGCGCCTCACTTCAGCTTCAGCCTCCTGCCTTCCTCCTGGCTGGAGGAAATTGCTCAGCACGAATTTCCACGCTGCTCTCCGGTGGCAAAGCTGCCACCAAAGCAGAGGGGCGAGGGGCTGGCGGCCGTCTGGCTCCACCACCTCCTCCCCAAGGCCCACGTGCTGCAGCGAGCAGGGACACGGGCCGGGTCCCCTGTGTTGGGGGGCCGGCGTGCTCCCGCCGAGGCTCAGCTCCGCTGCCGGTAACCGGAGTAGAAAGGGTATGGGGTATGCTGGGGCAGGAGCGTGCTGCTTGGCTCGGCCCCGACGACGCCGGGATGGACGCCTGCCCTCGTCTTGCTTCCCCCTGCCCGAGTTCCTGCCTGCTCTGAGCAAGCACATCCTCTTCCTCCCCGCCGACTCATCCGGGGCCGGCCAAGAACTGGCATCTCCCACAGGGGCTCAGGGATTCCGCCGTGACTCACACCGGGAGCGTTGCCCGGGCTCCGGCGGGGACACACCGCCCCGTCCCTCGCCTCCCCGGCTCCTTCCAGCCGACAATCCGCCCCTCCCCACTCCGGTGCAAGCCCGGTGCCTTCCCCGCCCGCTCCCCGGCTCCCCCTCACCGGCAGCGGGGCCCCGAGCAGGCGGTGCAGCGCGGGCAGCTGCGCCCCGAGGGCCAGCGCCTCCGCCACGGCGTAAACCGGGGCTCGCCGCGGCTCCGGGAAGCTGCCGCAGCCGAAAGGATCCGCGTCCTCCAGGTACTGCAACCGGCACGGCACCGCCGCCTCCGCCATGGCAGCGCCGCTGCTGCTGCTGCCGCCGCCGCCGCTCCGCTCCCGGGGGTGGGGGCGGTGAAGCCACGCCCCTCCCGGCCCCGCCCCTCCCCGGGAGAGCCCGCTCGGTGCGCCCTCCCGCGGGCGTCCCCGCGGCGTAGCGGGGGCTGCTCGCCCGCAGTTGCATCCCGCGCCGGAGGGGTGCTCCGGTGTCCGGGATGCTCCGGGCTGCCCCGGAGTGCCGGGTGGGGCTGCTGGTCCCGGGTGGGCGGCAGGGCTGAAACTCCCAATGCTGGGTCAGCGGGGAAAGCGGTGGAGGGAGGAGCCGCCCTCTGCCCCGGGCAGCCCGGGGCCAGGGGTGCAGCGGTACCGCCCCGGCAGCGGTGCCGCCGGTGTTGATGCTAACAAGGGTGTTATGCATCCAAGGTGTCGATGCTAATGAGGACGTCCGAGATGGATCATGTAGGGTTCGTCATCATGGCTAAGGTGGGCTTGGAAAGGAGCACGCAAAGGAGAGCCAGGACCCAGGGGAGACCGCAGCTGCCCCGGGGATGGGACTGGGGACACGGGGAGGTCTCATTGCTCTTGGACTCAGCATGAAGCATCTTGGGGCATGCCGAGCGCAACTCAGCAAGACAAAGCTTTTGCAAAGGTGATCCTACTTTCTTTTTGACTCATTACCTGGGCACCATCGTCACGATGGCCTGACGTGATGGAACGGTGGGCAGGGAGCCTTCTCACTCCTGGCTCCAGCCCGGGCTCCCAGTAGGAGCGAGGCGGGAGCAGACTGGAGGGGAGCTCAGCAGAGACACCCAAGCAGCGACACGGGCCGGGTCCATGATTTAATTATGCAAAGGGGAGCAAGAAGCAGCTGCTTCTCAGCAGCAGCCCTTGCTCGGCCATTCCTGTGCTGCCTTTCCCGGCAGGAGCTGGCTGGCAGGGGGTGGCAGCAGCAGGCTGCTTTCCCCAGCCATTTTCTTCCGCTGGCAAATGTCTGCTGCACATCTGTGCCAGGTCAGAGACATGAGAAGAGGCGACGCTGCCGAGGCTGCCAGGGTAGATGTCCTGCAGCCCATTTCTCCCTGGCCTGCAGGCTCTGCCTGGCACTCGGTGTCCGATGGTGCCTGTGCCATAGGTAGTACCAGCCAGAGGCCTCGGCCCAGTCAAGGTGTCCTGTTGTGGCTCTGGGGACACATGGGCACAGCTCAGAGCTTGGCTCTCCAAGAAGCACTCCACCAGCATACCTTCCTGCCCCCTGCCAGGCAGAATCCCCGCTCCCTGGGCTGCCTGGGCATCCCTCCCTGCCTGCCCAGGACACAGGGCCCTGGATCTGGGAACCACAGGGATGGGATGTGGGAGACATGGCACCTCCCGGAGCAGGGGGGATGGCCCAGGGTTGGTGGGCAAGTGGGAGCTTTTAAGGGTGTCTGAGAGGGCTGGGGAGGTGAGGACGACCCAGGAACCATGGGGGGCACCCTGGGGTGCTCCCAGCCTGGTGCTCAGGCAGCGGCTGGGGTAGGGATGGGTGCTCACAGCTGGCAGCAGAAGGGGTTGGGCTGGAGGGGGGGATTAGGTGGGGAGACTGGGAATCTGGTGGGTGCAGGAGGACGGAGCCAGGGTGAGGGGACTCGGGCAGAGAAAGGGCACCAGGGGAGGGCACGGAGCACCGGAGTGACGCAGGGGGCACCGCCAGGCAGGAGCCAGGGGGACAGGAATGGCACAAGGGGGGCACCAGGGTAGAGGCAGGGGGGCTGCTGTGGGGCAGGGGGTACTGGGGCAGGTGCAGAGGGACTGGCATGGGGCAGGGGGCACCGGGGTGATGCCCGGGGGACCGAGGTGGGGCAGGGAGCGCCGGGAGGGTGCAGGTGGGCTGGGGTGGAGGGGGATGCATGGGGTGAGCAGGGCGGTGCCGGCCCCCGGGGCAGGTGCAGGGGGGCCGGGGGCAGTACCGGGGACCCCGGG